CATTCTCTATTCTTTTCCACTTACGCCCCACCCCCCCCCCCCCAAAAAATGCCTAGACCTTGCGACCTGTTCGAGTACACAACCGGACATTAGAGATAAATGTATATAATTGACGCGTGCCCACGTGCCTTGTTCCTTTTTACGTTTGTGGCTTAGATGCAGTGCAACCCTGTGATAGTTTGAATTCTCCCCTTGTGTATCTCGTCTTGACAACGTCTATTAACTAACTATTTATATTGATCTAATTAGATTGCCTTGCCACGCGGTATGATTTATTAATAAATGATAATGATAAGGGGAAGCCTGAAAACCAGATCACGCTTGATTGCTCCAGGCTCGAGACACTACAGAAGTACTGGCCCCATGGCCATCGGAGATGAGTAGATGATGCACCAACCGCACGACTAGTTGTCACAATGATGAAGACTTCTGGAGACATTAGAGGTCTATCTCATCTGTCATTCATTCATTTCGACTGACTCCCGTTCTCCAAGCGGACGGTAGATGGTCTTGACACCATCTTTCCATATGGACCTTCGACTTGAATACCTATGCAAGGAAGCACTTGACAAATTTGCATTGATGCATTCAAGTGCTATAGCCCTCCGCAACTACCTGGCTGAATTCTATGAGGCTTCTCAGGCATAGACGTCAAAGAATAAGATGGAATACACCCGACCTATGGTGTTTCGACGCCGCCCGGTTTTATTTTTTGCATTTATCATTTCAACCGCTGCCTTTTTGAGTACTGTTTTCCACGGCCAGGTGGAGCAGGTTGGCACTAACTCTAAGGTCTATGATGACTATTCTTCCCGGGGCCGATAAGTACCAATAACTGATATGTACCATATATACGGTACATTACTCCGTCATACACCGCTATAAAGAAGGCCTGTACTTGATCGTTATCTATTTAGTTGTTTTTCCAAGACCGGAAATGAGGCTACTGATAATGGTCGCAAGTCCGTGCAGCTTCAGCATGCATGGTACAAAGGAAGCAGTTTCGGACAATGTCCGAGGAAGAGCTGCGACAGATAGAAGAGGGGTGGCGGATGGAGGCGATGCAGACCAAACGCTGACTCGGATGAATGCCTATGGGGAAAACGAATTAGTGACAGCAGCGACATACCGAAGAAGGGAGGGAAACAGGAGAGCTAGAGCAACTCCAGCATGGAAGCCAAACAAGCCGAACAGGAACGACTACAGCGCGAGGCCAGAGAAACGGCAGTCGAACAAACAAAACCGCCTGACAGGGAGCGCGAAAGAAGATCTGGGTGAGATCAAGTGTTACAGGAAACCAAAGGGGAGGCCGTAATGCATTCAACCGTACTGGGCGGCAATGGAAGTCAAATGCAACCTGATGATGATGATGATGCACCCGATGCTCTCGGAGATCTCCTGGACGGTCTTGTTAATCATACTCAGACAACAATCCAGCCCCGCCCACTCACAGCCTTGCATTGAATCACCTGATCAGCGCTTTACAGCTCTCGCAGCATCTACGGCCATAGAATCAGTTATTTGCGGACGCCACTGTTTAGGGGACCGCAGCACAACTCAATGCTGCATACTCGATCATAAGAGAAGTAGCTTCTCGATTGGATAGTGATCGTCGAAACTCTCATTATCCTGAGTGCAATGGCCAGTCTTGTGCCGCACAAGCTCATTCATATCACGCTGCTGTTCTTGGTTCAAAAGCCGTATGCGGTCATCAAGAGAGGTAAACGTTCCATAGTACCGATGGTCGATGAACGCCCAATAGATCTCATCGAACATAGAGCTGTACCTTGCTGCTAAGCATACCCAGAATAACCCAGTATCCATGGAATGTTGCATCCGTGGAGAGAGGCGCTGTGACTCGGACAGGAGGTGTTGTTGTGTCAACTTGTTTTCATAATCGCCAAGGACTTTCAAAAAGACATGCAGTCTGGGGTAATAACGATTCAGGAACTGGTTGAGGTCACCCTCCCAGTCCTCCGGACTTTGCAACAAGAGCCACCAAGGAGCTACACATGTGAATTCAGCAGGGGCAGCATATGTGAACTCCCAATCAATAACTCCCGAGACACGGGAGGTATCACGATCCACAAGGACGTTTGAAGGACGAAAGTCGTCACAATATAGCCGAAACGGCCCTTGACGGTGCTGGGGGAAGATCTTCTTCATGAGATTGAGAAATAAACAACGGGCGGTGAATTTTCTCCGGCAGTCCTCCTCGCTGTAAACGGCGTCTCGTTGCTGTAATCGAAGGTGGGAGAGATGCTGCATAGCAAGCGCTTCAAAATAGTCTGTGGCTGACCTGAAAGGCTGCGAGGGGAAAACCTCTTCAGGCAAATTGGCAGACGCCATCAACTCATTCATGTTGAAGGTGAGAGGCCGCCTCGCAAGGGAGAACCCCCTATCCTCCCCAGCAAGCGCACCTATAGAATCAAATTCATGCTTGGACAGTTCGAGGATAACCGTAGCCATTTGGTGATAAGCCCACTCCAAGCTCCGATCGCTTATTTGCGGGTTCAGGACTGGTCTTCCTTCTATCGAAGGATCTTTGAGAATCTGGGACAATGGCACTCCTTCGAGAAATGACTTGACGATGTAAGGGCCCGCCCAGCAAATGCCAGAGCCGAACACTTCAGGAACAGCTATGGAAGTGGTGTGGCGTATGTACTTCATCGTTGCGACTTCATTTTCGACTTTTTCCCTGCGGAGAATAGCCCTTCCAATCCAAGGGAAGCGAAACGAACAATGACATCCTCATCCTCATCCTCGTATCTGACCCGGTAACATAGATTGAAGGCACCACTTCTCCATAGGCACGCAGACTTCGTTTTGCCAGGTCGATGCTTCTTGGCAAGCTGCATAGACAATTCTTCTGGGCGTCGGTTCGACCAAAGTTTCAACCAGACGGTAGCTTTCTGTTCCTGTTTCTTTTCAGCAATATGGTCGAAATCCATGGCCATCTGGATGGTTTGCAGTTGCGAGGGAAACAAAATTGATGCTGGACAGTGATAATCAAATGGAACATGGAACACAGGGCCAGAACCCCTCTTTGTGTTTCGGAATCGGAATCGGATTAATCAATAGGACCGTACCAGCCACAACTGACTTGTAGTTTATCATAAGTAGATGTGCCAAGCACCTACCTAGGTAGTCATCTACTTACTTAGGTCGAAACAAGCTGTGTAATCTACTCATCCTATACGCTTGAAGCAAAACCGAAGCAAAGCTCAACAACATAGCAAAGGCATCGATTAGATAGGTGGTCTGTAGATGGGGCCGATCTCCGCGACCGTATCCGCACCGAAGATCCGAGGCGGGCTGGTCCCACTCTACCCAATCCTGAATAATAGAGGCGCGGGTCCAAATTTGTTATATAGTAAATTTTGTGATATCAAACAAGTGTAAACAAGAATTTATATGATAATCAGCAGAATTGAAGGTTGACTGACTAAGCAGAATTTTCTGTTTTACTCATAATCCAGTTTTCCTCGATCTAGGCAAATTTTAGACCTTTGATATAACAAAATTTTCTATATTCTAAATCAACAAAATCCGGATACCCAAGTAGTAAAACTCATCAGCCTGTTCTGAAAATCTGTTGTATAGGAGAATTTTGTATAATAGGACCTTGTTATACTGTGAGGTCACAGTACCTAACCCATGTACTGTACCTCGGCCGCAACTTCCATCAACTAATTATATTGCACAAGTCCATTCAATTAATTCTCAAGAAGTTGATACTGATAAGAGGAAGCCAGAAAACCACCCCTCTCGGCCGAATGGTCGCCATAGTGGACCCTGGATTGCTCATTTCCCAGCTCGATGCTTGGATCTCCCAGTTTCTCTTCTGCAACCACCCCTCTTCAAGTTACCCATAATATATCCCCCTTCCTCCTCGCCGCGGAGAATAGCCTCCAATAGCGGGGCGGATATGCAATCACGCCAACTGTGCCAGCGATGGTGCAGAGGCATACATCATGTATGCACCAGGGTATATCATCACCCCACACCGGGGTGCATCTGTCCTCAGTGAACCAGGGTTCTAGGCTGCTTCCTCAGAGACACCACAATCTGTACCATGACAGAGCTCACCGAGGAGAAAACCGTGGACGTTCATCCGACCACGCAACCCGAAGCCCCCGAGGACCCCAGCAGCAGCAGCGGCAGCAGCAGCGACAGCAGCATCGCCGAACATGCAGGCGTCAACGAAAAGGCGCTGCTCCGCAAACTGGATTACCGACTTCTGCCCCCGTTGACAATCTTGTACCTGCTGTCGTTTCTCGATCGGAGCAATGGTATTACCTGACGCTGCAGGCCTTGTGGAATATGGCTAATGGTCTGATGCGGAATAGTGGGCAATGCCCGGCTGGAAGGCATGGGCACCGATCTCGACATGTGTAGGCTACCTTACCCTCTTCAACTGACTCCTACTCGAACCCCAGGGCTGCGTACTGACCTCGCGCAGCAGGAGACCAGTACCTCACCGGCCTGACGCTCTACTTCATCGGCTACGTGCTGTTCGAGGTGCCGTGTAACATCATCCTGAAGAAGACCACCCCGCGGACCTGGCTGCCGACGCTCACGCTGGTCTGGGGCGTTGTCGCGACGCTCTGCGGCGTGGTGCAGAACTACGCCGGGTTTCTGGTGTCGCGATTGGGTAGGCACTGCCTCTGTTGACAGACCCAACAACCAATCCCCACCAACATGCTAATACAACTCCCATCCAGCCCTCGGAATCGCCGAAAGCGGCCTCTTCCCCGGCGTAGTCTTCTATCTGAGCATGTGGTACAAGCGCAACGAGCAACACTACCGCGTCGCGCTGTTCTTCAGCGCCGCCTCGCTGGCGGGCGCCTTCGGGGGGATTCTCGCCTGGGTAGGTCATCACCACCACCTTCCCTGCACCAAGTCTCCCCAAGAACTAATCGAAACCAGGGAATCGCCCACATGCGCGGCGTAGGAGGCTACAACGGCTGGCGATGGATCTTCATCCTCGTGCGCACCCCCTCTCTCCCGTCAACCCTAACCCACCCCTAATAAATGTCCTGTCCAGGAAGGCCTCCTCACCATCCTAACGTCCCTGGCCGCCTACCTCTGGGTCTTCAACTACCCGTCGAGCGCCGAGTTCCTCACCGACCAGGAACGGAGCTACATCCAGCACCGGCTCAAGCACGACAGCGACGCCACGCGCCACGAGACCTTCCGCTGGAACGCCGTGGGCCACGCCTTCCGCGACCCGAAAGTGTGGTTATACGGACTCGCCTTCCACACCCTGTCGCTGCCGCTGTACACGCTGTCGTTGTTCATGGTAGCCCGCCCCTGAAACCTCTCCCCCCCCCCCGTCACCCCTCACTCACCCCAACCCGACCCTCCCCCCCCTTCTCACTAACACCCGCAAAAGCCAACCATAATCCAAACCCTGGGGTACACCGCCGCGCAGGCCCAACTCCT